GATCCCAGAGGAATCTTGGTGCCCACCACAGTTTGATCTTTATATGCTCTTTGAAAGTTGGATCTTTTCCCTTCTTTCCTCTGTTTTCATTCTTAATGATAAGACAATTGAATATTCCTTTGCAGAAATAAATGATAACCTTTACCAGCAAAATCCAAAATGGCCACCTGGAATCCATTTTGTTTCTTCTGATCAGTCCCAAACTCAAATAGGCACAACTAGGGACATAACGAACCCTATACATGAAATTTGAGAAGTATTTAAACAGTAGTTATCAAGAAATGGTGATAGCAAACTTTCAAAATCAAATTCTAAGATGTTTGTCTGTTGACCATTGTTTGTCTGATCAGTCCCAAAATCAAAGTGGCACAACTAGGGAACAAGGGGAACCCACATATGAAATTTAAGAAAGAACCATTCAGTACTTCTCAAGAAATGGTGATAGCAAACTTTCAAAATCAAATTCTAAGATGTTTGTCTGTCGACCATTGTTTGTCTGATCAGTCCCAAAATCAATGTGGCACAACTAGGGAACAAGGGGAACCCACATATGAAATTTAAGAAAGAACCATTCAGTACTTCTCAAGAAATGGTGATAGCAAACTTTCAAAGTCAAATTCTAAGATGTTTGTCTGTTGACCATTGTTTTTCTGATCAGTCCCAAAATCAAAGTGGCACAACTAGGGACCAAGGGGAACCTACATATGAAATCTGTGAAAGATCCATTCTGTACTTCTAAAGAAATAGTGATAACAAATTTTTTTTTATGGACGGACGGACAGACCACAGACATAGAGCGATCTGAATTCTGAATTCTGATGATGGTGGGCTAAAAATACACCAAACTAATCAAATCTATAATGAAAGTAAATTAAACTCTTTGAATTTCATTTTTGTTTTTAATTTTTGGTACTTTAAGTGGTAGAGATCACGTGATAGCAAACTTATCTGATAACAAGAGCCCCAAGGACTTTAATGGTCGCCCGAGTCACAATGCTTCTTGTAACATGTCATAAAAATGATTTTGTTGAAAAAAATAAATTTAAGTATAAAGTACAAATAATGCAAATGTAAATTGTATATACTTTAACACTGTCCCATGCTAAGGCTTTTTACCAAGTTTGAATTAAAAGAAATTACACTCAAGATTTGAATTTTTCTTTATAAAATCTTCCATTCAGAAAGAGTAGAATCTCTTTGAAATTGCAGTCAATTTTACCCATGTTTGGCCTGACCTATCAGCCTCTGGGGGTCAATCAAGGCCAATATGTGTATCTCATCAACATGAGGCCTAGTCATCATACTCATAATTCCAACCAAGTTTGAAATATTTCTAATGGAAATTAAACAAATTATGCTCAAAAATATAATTTTCCTATATAAACTATAGTAAACTTTACCCCCTCCCCATGGGGAAATGTGAGACCCTGGGACCATGAAATGCACAGTTTTGGTAAAGCATCTGAAGGCCTTTCCACCCAAGAAGAGTTCTTGGTTCTACCATACCTGGGATTTGAAAAGATTTCGGAAGGTTCAATCAATTTTGACCCTATTTGGCCATTCTCCACAGGCCCCCTCGGGGTTTGGAACCAAATGATTTACAATTTTAGTGTGCCTTTAGCCATGGACGATTTTAGTAAAATTTCATTGAAATCGGTGTAGAACTCTTCCAGAAAAAGGCCAAAATGTTAAAAGTTTATGATACACGACGCCAGACAAAAGGGAATCACAATACGTCACCCTGAGACTTTGTCAAGTGATCCAATAAGCCCCTGTTCGGTCATAAGCTCAATGACATCTACTGTAATCTCAGTAGAAGTGAGACGTAATGCGTTATATCACTGTATGACAATTAACATGCTTCCCTTTTGGGCCCCTGTTGGTCATTGCAATTTAAGCAAAATGTTAATCGTCTCCAGCAAAATTCATTATGTTTTTAACTTCCTATACACAGAATTAATAACTAGAAAATTTACCTATAAATAACATTCACACTTCCAGTCAAAATTAAATCTATACATCTCAATTTTGTTTTAAAAATATATATATATACAAACAGGATACATCGTTACATCTCAAATTGTTAAATATATGGCACAGACAACTGTCTAAATCATTGATTGTGAAAAACTATCTCTTAGGCCTACATCTGGGACTAGATCATATTTGAAGTTTTTTATTTTGGTTTTTCATGTATAATGAAAATTATACTGACCTCTTTTTCAAATGTTATACATATTAATTAATATTACTTCATTATAAATAAGACAGACTACTGTGAAATCATACATTTTCGCAGGGCTCAAATTTCATGGTTTTACAAGGATAAATATTTCTAGTAACTCAAACAGTACTGTAATCCATGTTAATCTTTATCTGTTTATCATTTCTAGGCCATGTAAATTTGTGGAAATAAATTTCTGAAAGAAACCATGAATTCAACAAAATAAAACCCTGACAAGAAATAATAATTAAACTGTATTGCCTGACAAAATCAGTTAATTATAAGCTTACGACATAAAGTTCATAAAAATTTCATTGACATTCTAAATAATAACTACACATGCAGTTGGTAATATTCAAAGGGTACCATATAACTGGTAGTTTTCAGGGGACAAAAATTACATGATTTTTTTTCTTAAAACGATCAAATTATATTTTTAAAAATTTCTATTTCATGCTCCGAACGTAAAAGGACATCTTATACAAACATCTCTCATTATTTCACAGACTACATTTTCACAATCACTTCGGCAAAACAGTGAAAATATCATCTTGCTACAAAATGTGGTATACAATATGTATTATTTCTCTATATTCACAGTCATTTAAATATAACAAAAAAATTGAATACCCAATAATACTGAATAACAAATATGTAACAATCAAAAAGAAATCTATGACAGATGCCTCTGTACATTTTTATACATGGAACAACATGCATGAAAGGGGATTCCTTTGAACCAGCCAATTAGGATGACTGCAAACCATAAGCCTCCATCACTAAAAACTATACACTAAATAATGTCCTTTAAAAGAGTTCAAAGACACTCTTAAAACATACTGATTTCCATTTAACAGATGACAACATACCAATACATAACACCTTCAGGTTTAGTTTGAGAATTAAATTAAACTAGAACACTGACAGGTCAGCAAGGGCCTTGCTATGTGCTGGAAATACCTTAACCATCCCCTATCCCATCAACCCATCCTTAGACACACACCTCCCAGAATGAAATAATATGATTTTCAGCTATAATTTAATTGATTTAAAAAAATAAAATTGACAGAAGAAGCCATTGTCCTTTTTGATGAATTCCAACAAAAATAACTCTGTTTTCCTGCAAGCTTTTGTTACAATTACCAAAAGTCAGAACCATCGTAGAACACGACTTACAGTATCGTAAAACAGCAGCTACAATCAAGAGCCACCCGCCTTCCAAACATGTATTGTTACTAGAACATATGGGTAGCTGGGAATCAAAGAGTAACACATGTACTATAGGTCATATGCCTCTTCAATTTGTCTTACAAATGTCACATTCCCCTCTCTTGATTTTCATCAACAGCAGCAGAACACACTCTATTCAGGGGTAACCTTGTCATGAGTATACTTCAAACACATACAACTTCATATACAAAAGGCCCACTGAGCCTGTATCACTCACATGATAGCATTAACAGTGGTAAAGAAATCTTACAAAACAAGTAGATTGTAACATCATCATATGTTTTGAAATCTATACACATGGCCCCTACATGAAGTAAAACAAAGAACATTTACTTCCGCTGTTATGATTTTCAAGAATATTTTGGTTTTTTGAAGTTTCAACATGTTTCAATCCTTGAAACTAGATTATGGTTATCAAAGGTACTTTCTGGTCAAATCTATGACCCTGGATCCTCCTGATCTTAAGAAGAAGATTCTTGAATCAATGTTTTAAAAAAAAAAACACATGATAAAGCCATCACTCTAGATCTTCCAAATATACAGGTAACTATGAAGTTTACAATACATTTGACCTTGAATGAAAGTCAGACTCAATACTACATGTTTATGAGGATATTTTATAACACTCTGTCCTAAGTACCTGCCAGGCAAATAACGTAACTTTTGGTCTTCCTGAACATAAACAGAAGATTTTTATTGACTTAACATATATAAAGCTTACACCATAGATCTATATCATATACACAGCTTTATCACTTGAAACCTCAAAGAAATGTTTGAAAGTTGACTCCTGTGACCCTGAAAATAGGTCGAAGCCATCATAAAGGCACTTAAATACACTCTATCCCTGCACATCATCATCACGAAAGTAGAACTGAGGTACTAACAGTTTAATTGAAAAAGCAAGCTGATGGATGAACGACTGATGCTGCACCATACTGTCAGTTCACTATAAATGACACTTCATGCCAAAATAAGTTAAAATTGAGTTTTTTTTTAATATGTTATCATGAATAGTTACCTCATAAAACAACATATCTTTGGAAATAGCAAGAATTTGATAAATAAACAGTGGCTATGGATATAATAACTTTCAAAAACATGTAAGCAATGATAATCACAACAAAGGGAGTTAACTCTTAAAAAACTGCATCTACCTGCCAGAATACCGTGCACTGTAGTAAGAAATAGGATGAAATATCTTATGATATCACCGAGACAAAAATAGTGCATGAATATTGAATATAAAACAAAATATAAAACTGCTTATTTTAAAGACCTTTTTCTTCAAATCATAGTGATATATAAGTATTGTGATAATGACTTTGAATGGAAGGGAAATATAAAAATTAATATATGTATGAATAGATTTGATTTAAAATTGAAATTTTTTTTTTGTAAAATATGAATGTCAAGGACATACACAAGAATAGATGTGTATCCTTACACATGAAATTCAGTTTGTGCTACGTCAAACAAAATCAACATTTTTGTTTGCCAAACTAATATTGGAAGAAACTGAAATTGAAAACATCATATATATATAGCACTAAAGTTTAAGAAAAATATCACTGGCGATGTCGAAAGATCACAAATGGTCTTCACAACTCATCGTGGGATGTCTGGAAGCAAAACAAAATACAGAAATATTGAGAAATATTTCAAAACTGACAAACCTTTTTTTGTTTTAAAACCATTGCATCGCTTATTCTGCAATAGCTTCTGTTAAACATGGATTGCAAAAAACATTTCAATTTTTAAAAACTTTTAAACTGGCATCAAGTGTCACTCAATAAGAAAAATCAGATAAGTATTACGTTTATTTAATATTCTTTTGATGAAACATAAATTATCAATTTCCTTTGAATTATTTTTTTCTTCAACAAAAAGCTTTCCTACCTTTTGAGCTGGAATCTTTCTATTGATGAATCTGATAATTTGATTTGCATCTAGGAAGTCAATATCTTGTCCATACATGTGCTGAAAATATCAGGTAAACAGGTTGATAAATGTGAGATATACAAGGATTAACTTTCTTCCTCTGCATTACAAATAATTTGAACAAAAAAGAATCCTTTTATTTTCAGTCTTTCCTCGTTAAAAGGTGGTATCATTTTTAATCATCATTTGTTAAATACAAATTCTGACATATTTTCTACTGAGACTCCATTAATGAAAACTTCGAAAGTTCAAAAAAGATTGGCAAAAGGACCATATTTCAAAGAATTTTATTTTGCAGAGGAATCTTAAATAAATGTGCACAATTCTAACTAATGCCGTTCTCTCTAGTTCAGATGAATATTCTTCAACTGGATAGCTGGAAGTATGCAGGGTGATTCAGCAGTAGCAAACTATCTGCAGTATTAAGTACTATTTGTATCTACAATATTCACAATGTGCATGTATTACAATGTACACAATTTACATGAAATTATTTAGTTTGAACCAGGGAGTCCTAGCTTACTTGTCTGACACTCAACCAATTGAACTCAAGAGAAGTTCTCTCTAGCCAAAAGGTATAGTATGTACCAGGGTTACATACTCCCCTTCCAGGAAATAACTCGTCCTCAAGTTTTCCAGTGTTTACAGAAATGCCTGTGGGACATGCTAAGTATTATTCCAATATCCCTACATTGATGGAAATGTAACAGAAGTCATTATTTATTTTAATGCCTCCGCTGGGATTCGAACCCAGGACCCCTGGCTTACCTGTATGATGCTCAAATGTTCAAGCTAAAGAGAAGTTCTCTCTAGCTGAGCAGTATATTGTGGCTAGTATTTACCAGGGTTACATAATAATATACATTCTGTACATGTATTACAATATATTTGGTCATTAAAGAAATAATTTTTCCATTTTATGATAAATAGAAGGGAGGTAACTCCATCCACGATCACAGTACCTGAGCTGTGTACTGAAATATTTTGAATATCTCAGAATTGTACTGAGATATTTTAATACAAATTTGATATAAGATACAGTTTACACCAGATAATTACTTCAACTACATCATACAATTAGCTTCTCTTTCCATCTTAGCATGGCAAAATAAAGGCGGTTATTTCTAGGTCACAGAATACCGTACCTGAGCCATCCCTTTACGTGCCCCTTTATAGAACCTGACTGTCGGGTAGGCAGACACACCTGCCTGTTGACACAGATTACGATCTTCATCACAGTTGACCTTGCCTGCTTTCACACGACCTTCAAGTGCCTGTAATGGGAAAGGTATTGTGAAACATGGATTTTATATCAACATTTTAATCTGACAATGTACCAAACAATATTGACAGTAATTTTGGAAACAGATTCCTAAATAATAGGCCATAAAGCTTATAATGCACAGGATCTTAAAAACATTCAGTTTATATGAACTAATGCCTTTCTGATGGAACGCTGTGACATTGAAAGTAAATCAATATGATTCATATAAAGAAGTCTGATACATGTAGCAATCTTGTCACTGCCAAGTATCAGAGCCTTGGTGCTACCTGGAGCCAACGTTAAGGAAAAAGTACAACATTTGTGAGACATCTCAACAATTAATTAAAAACATCATGACGAAAAGCAGATACAAGAGGCCTGCGACGGATGAAGCATGTTGGCTGTTGGTCATCATGACCCTTCAGGTCAGATGACTTAAAAAATCTATTCAATTACTGTTAATAGAGTTTGTTGATGGCAAGAGTAATCATGATATATTTCATACTTTAAGTAAAAAACCAAAGGTCAAATAGCAACTGCTGTTTTTCTTTTTAAATTCACTACACAATAGCACTACTATGTATGATACCACAGCATAGGTATCTTCCTAAATATAACAGGCATTATACAGGCATGGAGGCCGATATATTCCCTATGAACTTGTCAAATGAATGACTTCACAATTCTGCACTCGTAATTCCATTGAACCGTTTTACATGAATTAGCCTCTTTTGCCCTTGGAGGATTATATAAAAGTGAGTGAAGGGTCTGGGAAGGGAGCTCAACAAGAGCTTGAAGTGAAGAAAGGGCTGGGGAAATGAACTCACCTAGAACCTGAAGTGAAGAAAGGGTTGGGGAAATGAACTCATCTTGAACTTAAATAGAGAAAAGAGGGTTTAGGAAGGGAGCTCAATAAGACCTTGAAGTGAAGAAAGGGCTGGGGAGGGGACCTCACCTCGAACCTGAAGTGAGGGGAGGTTAGGAAGGAAATTCACTTAGAACCTGAAGTGAGGGAAGGCTGGGGACGTAAACTCACCTAGACCCTGAAGTGAAGAAAGGGTTGGGGAAAGGAGCTCATCTTGAACTTAAAGTGTGTACAGAGTTTGGGAAGGGAGCTCAACAAGAGCTTGAAGTGAAGAATGGGCTGGTGATGTGAACTCACCTAGAACCTGAAGTGAAGAAAGGGTTGGGGAAAGGAGCTTATCTTGAACTTAAAGTGAGTGAAGGGTTCGGGAAGGGAACTCACCTAGAACCTGAAGAGAAGAAAGGATTGGGGAGGGAGCACTCCTATAACCTAAAGTGAGGAGAGGGCATCGTTTTTAGTTGAAAGTGAACATTGTTTTTTATCACCAATGAAAAACCATTGCTTTTTCCAGGTAATCTTGAAGCTAAAAGGTTTTTAGAATGAAATTTCTTTTAGGTATTTTATTTTCATGCTTTCAATACAAACAGGTTCCGCATTGTGTTGGCTATATAAATCTTTACCTCTGCAATTTTTTCAAATTCCGGTTTAAAAACTTGGCAATGTCCACACCAGGGAGCATAAAAGTCTACGATGAATGGAGTTGAGCTGGACAAGACATTCTGGTGGAAGTTGTAGTAACGCAGTGTCTCTACTTTACTTGGTAAGAATTCGAACGCCCAAGCTCGTAGTGACTGGGCATCTCTATGCCAGCCGTTGTACGTACTGCAATACGACAAAATATATGCTTTTACCAATCATGATTAAGATTTTAAGCAAATTTGGTAACTGCCATAATCTTTTTTTATTCATGTTGTTATAAGTCCATGCCTCTTACCACCAATCCAAATGCAAACATGTCTTGAGAGGCCACTCAAGGTAGCAGAAAAATTGGTGTTTATACACAGGTGGTCTTTGTATAAAAATGGTTAATCAGACAGGTTTGAGTGAGTAGCAAATTTTACTAAATTGTCTTGTTTTAAATTCTCAAAACATATTTTGAGCGACAGATTGTTTTTGTTCCCATGGAGTATTGCTGTGGAAAGTGATAATACAAACCTCAGTATATGTTTATATCATGACAAGAATTCAAGTTAATACATGTACAAATTCTTCAAAGTTCTGTCAAAACCTTCAAAAAGCAACATCACTTTTGTGCTTATAAACATTGAAGCAATTAATGACAAAGTAATGCACCATCAAACACTTACAAAAATGAACCACTTCCTTTCTGAGAATCAGCAGGATACAGCCTCATGCTGGGATACGAGTTTACGTTTTCCTGTCGACACAGCGCTGCCTCTTTCTGACACTCAACTTGTGCGACAAAAATATTCTTGGTATTCTTCAGCATCTGCAGTTAAAGAAAACAAAATTTAGTCTATCACTGGTTGTTTGTTTAACATTTTCTCAATAAACATGTACTATTAAGAAAGTAAAAATTGTCAATTGTCATATTAGTTTGTGTTCAGTAGAAAAAAATCATCATACATGTAGTAGTCAGTGTTTATAACTTGTTAAGTCAATTAATTCTACTCAGATATTAATTGTAGCTTCAATTTGAGATTATTTTTGTTACATTTTTTTCTCTTTTGTTATTTTGTTTTGTTTACAAGTGTTACTGAATAAACACATTTGAAATAATTTTGTGTTAGCAGTTTATTGTGTTTTGCAACACAATTCGAAAATTTTTCCCCTTAATAGTTGATATAGTTATAGTCTGGCAATATATCGCAATATGACATAATGTATCGCAATATATAATAATATAATTTTTACAAGTAATACCCAGCCCTACCTAAAGCAAATATGACATTGTTTTGAGAGCTGTCTTTTACAAAAATTTTACAATTGTTGTTCCATTTGGTTGTACCAATAGCAAATATGGCATTGTTTCAAGAGCTGTCTTTTACAACAATTTTACAATTGTCGTTCCATTTCATAACACCCATAGCGAATATGGCCTTGTTGAGAATTTTCTACTTGTTGTCAAGATGCTGAAATGACCTACATGATCTATCTTGAGGAGTTTTATATTTATATTGTGTTACAGATATGTTTGCTGTTTTCTATAAGACTGCATGACAAATACTGAACAAATTTTCATTGTAGAGGAGGAGCATTTTATATTTAACATACGCTCCTCAATAGCAGAAAGTTGACATGAATATGACCAAAATTACATAATATGGTATTTATGCTGAATGACCAAATGACCAAATTAATGAATGGCAAAACAAACCTGTTAATGGCAGAACAGTAGGACCAGTAAAGCATGATAAATATTTTAATAATAATGTACCTTGGCAAGCCTTCGCCACTCCGGGGCAAGCTGCTGACAGGGTCCACACCAGGAGGCATAGAAGTCAATCACCCATATAACTCCCTCATCCTTCTGCCTCACCAGCCTATCAAAGTTGTTAAAATCGAGGATTATCACTGGAGGATTCAGCGTGTCTTCTATGAACTCTCCTAAGTCATCAGCTCGATGATGGCCGTGGTATTGTATAGGAACTGTAGCGTTGTAAAGTATGGTGGTCGGGTAGGAATTGATGTTGTACTGGAAAACAAAACAAAGATTGTCATTCTTGTATCATAATTTACTAATTGCTAGTTTTCAGCATCACATTTCAGTAAAATAAATATGAAATAGTCCCTTATTATAATACTCAAATCAAATTTGGACAGAACACAATGGAGGCAGATAAGAACTTGGAGAAACAAATTGTATTGACATGTTAAGGACCCCACATTGTGTCAGACTCTACACTTGTGTGTTACATTGATACATGTATTACATTTTTTTGTTTTGTTTTTCAACTGCAACAATTTGCCTGTGAAATATAATTGTTTCAAATTCAACCTTTGAAGTGATGACCTTGAACTGTGGTTGGGTCACTTTTCATCTGATTTCAGTGAATTTTGTTTAAGTATGTCAAAAGTAAATATTAACATTTAGGTAGGAAAAATGTTTTGCTGTGTAGTATCATTTCTATTTATAGTTATGGTAACCTTGAACTTTGACCTAATAACAAGAAATTAATTAGACACAGTACTGTGCAGAAGAAATGGAGAAAAATTCTGACTGTAATCATCCCAACAAAACTGAAGATATTTGGTAGGAATCATTTTCTATTTGTAGTAACACTGACCTAGGCCTTTGTCTTAAGGACCCACAAATACTGATACACAAACACTTCCTTTGATAAATCATTCAGTAAATTATAAATGAAAAGTACAATAGACTGAACAGAACTATCGGTATTGTATTGAAAAGTAAAGCTGGATGAACAGACAGACAGACAGACAGGCAGACAGACAACCTGTCGGGCACCTACATCTTTGAAGTAGGGTCCTTATCACCAAAATGAAGGACAAGAATTTGGAGAAAGTACCAAAATGAAAACTGAGCTTACCATACGACAGATGTCTGAGTGTATTGTACAATCAACGGTGCCAAAATTAACCACTTCCCCATAGCTTTTTGCTGCCTTCCTGAACTCTGGTAACAGCCTCATACACGGTGGACACCACTGTTAAAGAATCAAAAAGCTCTTTTGATGATATTGAATATTTTTCTCTGAAAATTAATAATTACAATAAAACAATCATTTGTAAAACCTTTTTCTGCAAATAACAGATGAGTGGTCAAAGTGCATAATGCACAACAAAGATGTCATCAAAGGGATGTAACTCCCAATAACTATTCTGTGAAAACAAATTGCATTTTAAGCACTGATTTGACCTGAAAAAAATCTCCGCTGATCTGATCAACCCTACATTTTGTAGCCTTCTATAAAATTTTCCAATAATTCATAAGGAAGGGCTATCATATGAAAAATTCATGCTTGATATATATCCATAGTAAAGCTATCTAAAAACATATACTGACTTTCTATTTTTTCTTCCATGTTTGCAGTAGCACATTTTCACAAGTATCTATGTTTTTACATATGATAAGAAAGCATGAAACACATAGGACTATTTGTGCCAAGCTTCATTCAAACTTCCAGACAATGTATAAAGCATTATTCTGGACAAACCTCTATGACTTATTTTGTTGTTGGTAGCATAACCCTTGTTCAACCATGATAAACCATTACTATAAAGCATGGTCCAAAATATAAGGTTCACTAGAATAACAATGTCAACGCCAAATTTTTTTACATGAAATTTGTCTTCATAACACCTTACACAAAACCTCAAAATAGACAATGATTAAAAGGGATTTAAACAGAAACTCACCGGAGCGAAGAAATCGACGAACCAGGTGTCAGAACTGTCTGGTCCGACTCTGTGGTGGTGGAAATCCTCTTTACCTAATGATTCCACTTTAACTACAGCACTGTCACGTGCAAAAGCAGCCACATCGTGGGCCGTCATCCGACCTGTTAATAAGGTCAAGGTCAAATAAACAAACATGTCAAACACTATTGTAGGTGATAAGTAGAGCCAGCTGCAGAATGACTTGTGGCTAAATGTGATTCAATAATCTGAACAGATGTCTATAAGCAGGGACCTTCATGAAGGATTCTCCTATCAAATACTCAAAACAGATCTTATACACCATGCTTTGAACATATCTTTTCACTGCTGTTTTTTTACATCATATCAGTGCAACAGTGTTATTACTAGTATATAATAAAAAAATGTTGCCCTAAACCAAACAAGCACTTGACCAGTATCTCCATATCAAACAACTTAACAAAAAAAGTTTATTCAAATTTTTACATTTGCCCTACAAAAGAAAAAAAGACGGGCCTCATGGGACTTAACAGTCACCTGAGGTCTTCAGGTTTTTGGACAGTTTTAGAACTGGTCCATCAGTCCAAGCATTGGGACAGATAGAACAGAACTGATATATGCATACATACAAGGTTTTTATTGTTTGAAGGCCAAATTTTCAAATGGAACTGAAAACATTCTCTGTTGTTGTAGTTTAGCATATTTCAACCCTGTGACCTTGAATGAAGGTCATTCATTTGAACACACAAGATACCCCTTCATCCCAGTATGCTACTGGCTCAATATCAGCACCCTGGGGGTTTTTGGTTATTGACATTGACATTTGATACATGTGACCTTGAAAGCGGGTCGAGGTCAAAAATATGACCCAACTTGGTAGCCCTTCATGCCAGCATACTACATGCCAAATATCAGCACTCTTTGTCTTTTGGTTATTGAAGAGAATTCATTTGAATATTTTGACATATTTGGCACCTGTGACCTTGAAAGTACGTCAAGGTCAATAATATGAACAAACTGGGTAGTATTTCATGTCAGCATGACACAAGCCCATTATTAGCATCCTGGGCCTTTTGATTATTGAGAGGATATCATTCAAAGATTTCAACATATTTTACCCCTGTGACCTTGAAAGTGTCTAGAGGTCATTCATTTTAATAATTTTTGTAGCCCTTCATGCCAGCGTGCAACAGCCTCAATATCAGCACCTTGGGACCTTTGATTATTGAGAAGAAGGTGACCTAAACATTTTTATTGACACAAATAATGTGAAAAAACAGTGAGTTTACCATAGTATATTTCATAGCCACCCGTCTGTTTAAATACGAGGAAACTAGGAAACTTGATGACATGTACACTGTTACACTCTGTCCTCATCAGCTCACAGTCAACACGGCCAATCTACAACAGAGGCGTGATCATGATTACTAGAACAGGTCAGCAAACGAAATACACAAAGTAAACACATAACCAAAATAAACATGGAAAAGATAGTAACTTGTTGGGCTTTAACAAGAGGCCCAGGGGTCTCCTGCATTGCTAACCTGGCTAATTTAGCTATTCAGCCTTTTAATAAAGAATTTCAAAAAAAAAAAAAAAAAAAAAAAAAAAAAAAAAAAAACAAAAAAAAAGAATTTCAAATATGACAAAAATTTTCTGATGAAATTTCTGTATAAGGTCCTGGCCTTGTGGTCAAACAGAAGTCAACATTCACTTTTCATACAAATAGCCTCAGGCCAAACTAGGACAATATCCATGTATGGAAGAATGATTTTCATGACCTTACATGTCCCCAATTGAGCTACTCCCACCCCAGGGGGCTTGGATGCATCATTTATACAGAACTGGTTCCCATTCTCCCAAGAATATTTCACACCAAATCTGGACAAAATCCTTTCATTTCTACAGGAGCAGGACTTTAAAGAACTTGCAAAATTTCCGTTTTTGAGCCCCATCCTCAAGCACCTTGGGGCCAAGAAACAATATCTATACAGACTTGATTCTCCTTCACCCAAGGATGCTTCTGACCATATCAAATGGAGAAGTAGGATGTTAAGGGATTTGTTTTTTTTTCAGTTGGGCCCTGCCCCTCCAAACCAAAAACGGCTGGAATCCACTGTTTAAACACACTTCACCAAAGAATACTTCAGACCTCTTTGGCATAATCCAGTCATTTCTACTGGAGGTGAAGAATGTTAAAGACTTTACTCTGTTTTCCCTATTGGGCCCGCCCTACCTGCCCCAAGGGGCCCAAACCTAATTTCTAAACAAGATTAATTACCTTTCATCCATGAATACCTCAGATCAAATTTCAGCAATATCCATTCATTCCTACAGGAGGAGTAGGATTTTAAAGAACTTGTCAAATTCCCATTCCAGGCCCTATCCTCTAGCTTCTGAGGGCCAAGAGCCAATATTTATATAAATTTGGTTCCCATTCCCCAAAGGATGTTTCTGATCAAATTTGGTCAACAGCTGTTTAGTCGTCCATGACTAGAAGCAACTTTTAGTAAAAAGATGATGGACAATGCACCATGACATAAGCTCACCTTTCCTTCGCACCAGGTGAGCTAAAATATCTATTGTACCTTAAAGTCACTAAGCATGCCTGGTAACTTCCTAAACTCAATGTCTTGATCAGCATCTCCTTCTACAAAATGGATCAGCCACACACTCTTCTGTCCCTTTTTCAGCCTCTGTTTGATCTCCTGGTATCAAAGACATAAAAATACAAACAAAATCAAAATTAAAACCCACAGCATATGAACAATGGAAATAACGAGGCCAACAGGCCTTAATGGTCATATGACTATATAGTCCTATATATGCAAGAGGCCAAATAGGCCTTAAAAACTTGCTCAATGACTCCACAGCTTAAAAAAAAGACATTGTTGGTTCATAAAAAATATTTTCTGCAAACTTGAAATCATATTTTTAATAAACACAAATGTTATTATTACGGACCTATTGCTTGCTGAAGAAGACATCTTAAAAATTTCTACTCAATTTGACCCAAGAGACCTTGAATGTATGTCAAGGTCAATCATTTGAATAAACTTCATAGCCCTTTATCAACCAAGGTTTAACTAAGATTAACAGCTTTGATAATTTTATTATTAAAAAGAAGTCAATTGAACAAAACTTGTAACCCTTCATTCCAGCATGCCATAGGCCTAATATTATTACCCTAAGCCTTTGGGTTGTTCAGAAGTAATTTAAAGTCATTTGATGTATTTGACATCAGTGACATCGAAAGTAAGTAACGATCAATGATATGAACAAATTGTATAGCACTTCATCCCAGGATCTTACTGGCTCAATATCAGGCTCATGTGCCTTTCATTTATTGAGAAGAAGTTGTTTAAAAGATTTTGACATATTGATACCCATGACCTTGAAAGTGGGTCAAGGTCAAAAATATGCACAAACGTGGTAGCCCTTCATCCAAGCATGCTATAGGCCAAATATAAGCACTCATGACCCTTTGGTTATTGAGAAGAAGTCATTTGAATGGAAAGTTTATGCATGGTAGATAACGCATAGCGAATGACAATGGGTGAGATGACATAAATACAAATGAAAAGATGTAGATCATGATTTGTGAAAAAGAGGACTTTGTATTCCTGTAGGGTAAGTGTCTCCTGCTTTATCACAACAATGATGAGGAAGGAGTGACAATGTTTCACCTTAAAGTTATTACATAATCCTTACATTGAATGTAGCTTTGTTCAGGACAGACACATCTGGTAGCTGGGACATGACTTGATGTGCAATTTCCTGGGCAAACAAACTTGTGATTTTCTGAAATTGAAGAAATACATTTTAGATATTTTCTGTCCATTTACTGTTAACCAGTTAATGCATTTTCTGCCATACAAATGAAAATATTTTAACCACTAACTTTAAGAAATATTAAAATATGTTAATTTTGTAATATTTACTATATAATGGGTTCTTTTTGTTATTTGGCATTAACTATGAAATATCTAATTTCATCCAGGTAATATTTTTACTATTGAAGAACAGGAATGAAAAACTGCTAGTTCAATATTCACCATGTTACTAAATGTCTGAAATAGTATACAAGAGGCACAAAAGGCTTCTGTCAAAATTTGGTAAAAATAAACTAAGTCTGTCATTACTTCTGGCCCCTTCCCTGAGTGACCACCAGCCTCTTCCCTGTGTGACCACCAGCCCCTTCCCTGTGTGACTAACAGTGCCTCACACAATACAACTTCTCACCCCTTCCCTGTGTGACTAACAGTGCCTCACACAATAAAACTTCTGGCCCCTTCTCTGAGTGACCAACAGCCTCTTCCCTGTGTGACCACCAGCCCCTTCCCTGTGTGACTAACAGTGCCTCACACAATACAACTTCTCACCCCTTCCCTGAGTGACCACCAGCCTCTTCCCTGTGTGACCACCAGCCCCTTCCCTGTGTGACTAACAGTGCCTCACACAATACAACTTGTGGCCCCTTCCCTGTGTGACTAACAGTGCCTCACACAATACAACTTCTGGCCCCTTCCCTGAGTGACCTCCAGCCTCTTCCCTGTGTGACCACCAGCCCCTTCCCTGTGTGACTAACAGTGCCTCACACAATACAACTTGTGGCCCCTTTCCTGTGTGACTAACAGTGCCTCACACAATACAACTTCTGGCCTCTTCCCTCTGTGACCACCAGCCCCTTCCCTGTGTGACTAACAGTGCCTCACACAATACAACTTCTGGCTCCTTCCCTGTGTGACCACCAGCCCCTTCCCTGTGTGACTAACAGTGCCTCACACAACACAACTTGTGTCCCCTTCCCTGTGTGACTAACAGTGCCTCACACAATACAACTTCTCGCCCCTTCCCTGTGTGACTACAAGCCCCTTTCCTGTGTGACCACCAGCCCCTTTCCTGCGTGACCACCAGCCCCTTCCCTGTGAGACCACCAGTCCCTTTCCTGTGTGACTACTAGTGCCTCCAACAATACAACTTCCAGCCCCTTCCTTGTGTGACCACCAGCACCTTCCCTGTGTGACCACCAGCTCCTTCCCTGTGTGACCACCAGCCCCTTCCCTGTGTGACTACTAGTGCCTCCAACAATACAACTTCCAGCCCCTTCCTTGTGTGACCACCAGCCCCTTCCCTGTGTGACCACCAGCCACTTCCTTGTGTGACAACCAGCCAGCCCTTGCCCACTAGTGTCCTTTCTGAAGTTGTATATACCTACCAGACCTGCTCCCTTGACGACCTCCTGGCTGTCGTAGAATATGGTTCCATACTCGACACCTAGACGTGTACATATATCCTCACTGTTATGACAGTCTAGTCTGGCCACATTTACAAGTTCCTCCTGTATGTACACAGCAAATATAAAAGCATTCAGTTGATAAAAGAAGGCAGGTTTTGAGTTTTGAGTTAACAGCTTGTTACAAATAATCTGTACCATCTGAACATTTCTTTCTCATGTCACACGGAAAAGTCTCAGTAGATTACACAAAGTTAATGAAAGTTTAACATACTGATGACAAAGTTTCAAAATAAACTATGAAAATTCAATACCGCCAATTCTCATTTTTCCCATGTAATCTTAAGACAAACGTTTCAGCTCAACTTTAATAATGTCTAGTGGCATCTATTTCAAAGTTAGCTTTTTATAACAATCAGGCCTTATTTGCCATTTTGAGCTCAGGAATCCTTAACTGTACAGTTACACTATAATACATTTTTAACAACATTTTGTAGTTTACTAAGCTCACTGATCAGTGTATAACAAGGCTGTCAGGAGAAGATGGAGAGATTGGTTCATAGAATAGTAACACTTACCAACATGGCTGCCAGCTTGATACATGTGCTCTTTGTCAAACAGTCTGTAAAAAGTGCAGCAGTGATATTAAAGTGTATGTAATTGTCCTCTATATTTCTTTGCGATAATAGTCTAACAGCAACGCCAGAAAAATTTTGTCTGGTGTAATATCTGCTATTGTTAATTTTGTCATTAATTTCCCCTTTACTGTGAAAATATGAAGTGGCAGAACAATACACATTGTACTAGTTCTAATAAAACATCAAAACCCCTCACTTCTATACTCGCTATCAACACAATGGGTAAAGCTCTGAATATCCTTACCTCCCCCATCACCACAGAATGTGATGAGCCAGGGTCGGTCATTCTCAGGGTTATTAGTGAAACTGTCAAAGTTTCCGTTCCACAGATCTATTACTGAGGCCTTGACCTGTTTCAATGCATACTTCACCATCGCCCCCGTCATTCTCTCTCCATGATATTTCTCTCTCTGTAAAGAATTTTACAAGACAAAATGAAATAATCCTTCATCTGTTTTAGAACAAATAAGAGAACAATCCTCCATGCAGATTTTTTAATATTCTAAAAGCCAAGCCATATTTCATAAATTTGTATATGTTGCGACATTTTTTCAGTAAGTTAATCATACTTTCATAAAAATGACGAGATAAACTTTAACATCATTTTCATTTTCACCGTAAGGGTATTTCTATACCAATAAAACATTTACTTGATCTCAGAAATTTATTCTGGGTTTGTTTTTCTGCCTATCACTTTTGCAGTAAATTAGCAATTTAATTCTTTGGATGGAACTCCTAAACAAAACCAAGTCCTGAGATGAATAGAAGCTTTAATGGAAAAGCCTTTATCTTATTTTGTAGGAGAACTATTACTGAAAATCATGATTCTATTAGGTGCAGTTAAATTCTCACCTATCACTAATGTTATCGGTGAGATGTGTTAATGTGAACATTTATTAGCATGGAAATCTAAGGACTGCCAAACAAAGAATATTTACAGTCTTTTACGAATTAGAGTCAGTTCACATTTTTTAAACATGTATGAATTACTACCACAAGGGAGCCCACTCTAATATTACTGCTAAATAAATCATGGGAGACATGTAATATTTCCCATATGGAATTATACAGGGGTTACCACACTGATATTACTGCTGGAAACTTTCTGAAAGACGGTTAACATTTCCCTATATTACTGGATACATGTTAGGAGACATGTAATATGTCCATTATTACATTGTACAGGAGAAACATCTGTTATATCACCTTTTGATATTAGATCAGATGCAAATAAACAAATTCCCTTATAACGTCACACAAGGGGGACAACTCTGATATTACCTCTGGATACTTAATGAGAGACATGTAATTTTTCTCTTATCACATTATACAGGGAAAACAACTTTGAAACAATTAATTCTGTTTTTATTACATTACACAGGGGAGACAACTTTAACATCACACTATATAGGGGAGACAAATATGAACTTACCGCTGGATACATGATGAGAGATGGGTAGGAACGGATGCCCTGCATCCTACACAGTTGCCAATCATCTTCACAGTTCACTGCCCCTATTCTGATCACACCCTCCAACTCTCTGGCAAGCTCCCTCCACTGTGAATAAGAATAAAAATATCCTCCATCTCTACATCAATCAGATCACCTAAGCAGCATGTACTAACAACAAGATATACCACAGCATCTTTATTTGTTCGTAAAAAGTTGGATCTTTTCCTTTCTTTTTCCTTCTTCCCTCTGTTTTTGCTATAAATTATATGAAATTTGAACACTCCTTTAAAGAAATAGCAATAAGGCTTCGTTTGGCAGAATACAAGTCGGCCTCCTATCTGCATTTTAATTTCACGATCAGTTACATAATTAAACATGTACAACTATAGACCAAGGAGAATCCATATATGATGATTATTCTAAAATTCAAAAATGAGTTCCTGTTGGCCATTTTGATTTTCTGACCAGTCCCAAAATCAACTAAGGACCAACAGACCTACATATGAAATCTGAATAAGATCCATACAGTAAGTTTTCAAGAAAGAAATATAACAAAATTGTTTTGCAGATGGACAGACCACCAACCCTGGATGAAGGTGATTTGATTAAAGAAAACATTATATGATATCATTTAGCGCTTGAAAAATTTACCACAACTGTTATGATGTAATCATGATCATGAAAAATCCAATAAAAGGGAAAGTAACACCCCCCCCCCCCCCCCCCCCCCCCCCCACCTTATTTCCTCTTGTCCTTCATCGTCATCCCAGCCACATCAAAATATTTAATTCAATCAAGTAATTAAAAAAAAATTAATATATTTTTCATTACTCAATTGTTATTGACTACAATGTTCAGAGATTTCACATGTTTTCTGGTATGTTGGATGGTATTTATTCCCAAAGCAACTTTTTCTGATGTCTGAACCCTGAACTCTACAGAGTATGCTTATATCAAAGCAGACATATTTGGAATGATTTCAATGTTTTTCATTTTACTAAAAACAACAGAAAGAAAAAGATGGATACACACATGTGGTGCCAAATCATGACAATGGCCGCAGTGAGGGGAATAATAGTTGATGAACCAGATGTCCTCTGTTCCCTCTACAGACTGTTCTGTAAAAGTCAAAACACACATTATAACACAAACCACACATCCTCTGTTCCCTCTACAGACTGTTCTGTAAAAGTCAAAACACACATTATAACACAAACCATACATCCTCTTTTCCCTCTACAGACTGTTCTGTAAAAGTCAAAACACACATTATAACACAAACCACACATCCTATGTTCCCTCTACAGACTGTTCTGTAAAAGTCAAAACACACATTATAACACAAACCACACATCTTCTGTTCCCTCTACAGACTGTTCTGTAAAAGTCAAAACACACATTATAACACAAACCACACATCCTCTGTTCCCTCTACAGACTGTTCTGTAAAAGTCAAAACACACATTATAACACAAACCACACATCTTCTGTTCCCTCTACAGACTGTTCTGTAAAAGTCAAAACACACATTATAACACAAATCACACATCCTTTTTTCCCTCTACAGACTGTTCTGTAAACGTCAAAACACACTAAATCATGTAGGAGTGAATTATTCAGTTAAATTCATTTAATGTTACTCATATCTTGGGAAAAGGAATGATCAGATATATGCTTGTATGATCAATATGTGAGCATTCTGAGACAACAAAGAAATCTAAACCTACAATACTTAACTTTATATATTTTACAACAATTGCGAAACAAGTTATTTCAACTTATACTAATCATTCATGTTGGCCCGGATGTAAGCATGCGAGGGGTCTTATTGTGGGAGGAAACTGGAGTGCCCTGAGAAAACCCACGTGGTCGGGCAGGTGGCCCTTACCTTTTCATATCTGTTCCAGGAGTCAAACCCCGGACAGCTAGGTGAAAGGCGAGTGCGCTACCACTGCACCACCCGACCACCCTAAACCTACAATAGGGTATAGTAATATTCTATCATAATATGATTATTTCTCATTTTAACTTACCAAAGTCTGACCGGCTCAGAGTTATAATTTCCTTGTCATCGTCATAGATTCCTGAAATAGAACAGATATGTATGATCACTGAAATTTAGTGAAAAATGTCATTCACTCACATATGCAAATACCAACATCTTGTCACACGGAGGCACTGTATACTGGGAATTTTTTGCCCTTTTTGTGCAGGAATAGACAGGGCAAATTACAGATGAAGGCATAATTTTGTTACACTAATAAAACTTTTTTATCAAATCCTCAGACTGTAAAATGAGATGAATTTGTGTATAATGGTACAAGGGTGCAATATACAGGTGTCAAAATATCTTAATACACAGTATAAGGTTCAGGAATATTGAGAGGATTGATGCTAAATAACTTGATAAATGGAACATCCTCTATCACGTAAATTCATCCAACAAAACATTGACTGGCTGCATGACAATAGACCACATAATTCAGCATAGTTAATCACCCTGTCAATCGTCATGGTAATTTTGAGGCGGGGAATCATTGTAGTTAGAGGTTGCCGCACTGAACGACATATGATAGGCCCCTAGGCCTGACATACGATAGGCCTGACATACGATAGGCCCAACATACGATAGACCCGACATATGATTGGCCCAACATATGATTGGTCTGACATATGATTGGTCCGACATATGATAGACCCGACATATGACTGGTCCGACATATGATAGACCCGACATATGATTGGCCCAACATATGATAGGCCCAACATATGATAGACCAGATATATGATAGGACCACCACTTGCTATCTGAAGCCATTTCGATGTAGGATATCTTTCTATAGTTAGAAGCTACCTTACTGTACAAAATACGATAGGACTATCACACACTACCTGAAGCAACTAGGGTGAAGTGTCTTTTTAAAGAACACAATCACAACATCACAGCTTGGTAAGTGACCTCAGCTTTGGAATTGTCAAACCACAAAAATTAGAATTTTACCTGAGGTTTCAAAGTTAATGGTACATCAACTGAGTTATCATTGTGATCTCATGTGGTGAATCAGGTCAGAAATGTTAAATATCCTGATGACACACACATATATATCCTTCTATTTTCAGATTTAAGTCAATGTTCTTGTATTGTCGAGCAATGGAGACTGACTTAAAGCAAATCAAGTCAAACAAATCTTCTGAATAAGTATGTGAGGTCCGACACAATGAGCAGGTATTTGAAACATGTAAAAAGTGTTTGTTTTAACATAAACTGGACAAAATCATAAAGACTGATGGTTTTGTAAAATACTAAAGTGTACAACAGTGCATGCTATAAATTATAGGTGGCACCAAGTTGTTGCTACCTCAATATAAACACTTAAAAACCAGAGCTGTTTGAGAACAGCATATCTTGCTTATCATGTAATCCTAACTGCCAATGTTTTCAGCCGTAAAAGGAAAATGTTTTTTTTTAATTCTTGTAGCAAATCATTAACAGATACACAAATTGAAGTCTCAAAACATGTCCACATTCCGTTTTTTTATCCTCATTGCCCTGTTAAATGAATCCCAAAACAACCCTAATACCAAATATCAGCTTGCTAGAATATCTATCTAATGATACACTAGAAGACCAATCATACATCCCAAACTACCTTGATAGCAAATATCGACATCCTAGAACATATATTTCATGATATACATGAGCATTTCGTAACTTGCAATAATATTCTAACTGAGCTGATGCAGTTTTAACAGTTTTAAGTAATTTGATATAACACCAGCATTGAGACACTTTAACAAAGTTAATCTGACACACAAATCACAAGTTTTAAAATTAAAATTTATCATTTAAATTGTGTTTATAAAAAAGGTGCAAATTTCAGTTCCTTTCAAGAAAGTCTGAACTGAACAGGAAAATTTTTCATGGCTGAGACGATCGTGTCACATCAACTATCTATGACATCATGGTAGTCTTATAACACATGTAATATTACCAACAGACCACAACTAAAACCTAGAGAAGTACATTGGTGACCTACATATATATATATTAATCCTGTGAGAGCTAGAATAGTTCTCTCCACCCCAACTGTAAGCCTCTATACACAGTAGAAAATTAACATTATAGTGGTAATTCAGTAAGTCCAAGCTGTGGTTATTTGTACAACATAATAACATCCACACATGCCAAGTGATAATCCTATGTAACAGATTTCCCCCTAGTCAATCTCTGTGTCAAACAGTTTGTTAGTTTTAGCTCTGTTATTTACCTTCAGTGTAATGTAACAGGTATGCTCGATTAATCTACAAATGCTTGGTTATGAACACCCTCTTTTTATTTCTGTTCAGTGAAGTCATCATTGTCTAGTAACAAGCCCAACCCTGGCATTAAATCATGGCAAATTGAGGCTTCTTGTCTTGTAATAAGCCCACCCCTGACTTTGTATCATGACATGTCTACACTTCCTGCCTTGTAATAAGCCCACTACTAACTTTGAATCATAACACATTAGGCTTCCTGTCTTGTAATAAGCCCACCCCTGACTTTGAATCATGAGGTGTTTAGACTTCCTGTCTTGTAATAAGCCCACCCCTGATGTTGAATCATGTCATGCTTAAACTTCTGGTCTTGAAGAAGAAGAAATCATTAAGCGTGCAACACACATTATATCTATCTCCTTATTTAGGGCCCCACCCCATTTGTCATGGGGTCAGCTAAACAATCCATGCTTCAAATCGAATTGGAACAGAATCCTGCCATTCCTACAAAGAATTTCTTCTATTTCCCCTATAGGGCCAACCCCTCTGGCCTCATGGGGCAATACCCACTTTTAATATGGAAATGATTTCACTTCAACAAAGAATTCTCTTGACCATACTTGGACAAATTACAGTCGTCCCTTCTGGAAGAGTAGAACTTTTAAGTATTTGCTCAATTTCCCCTTTTGGGCTCGCCACTAAGGCCCCATGGGGGTCAGACCACTGAGGATGCTTCCAACCAAACTTGGTTAAAATCTGCTAGGTCGTTCATAACTTTTAGAACAAACATGATATCCTACAGATTATTTACAAGATAAAAATGAAGTGATAGGGGCTCAAATGCATTACCATAGGTATAGAGTTTTCACAACTGTTCAAGTGTGCCCTTGGATCCTTTCATCCTTACTGATGACCATTAACATCTCATCATTTCAGAATCTTATATTACATTAAAAAGCTGTTAATATGAAGTACATTGTGATATGTTGAGGTGTTCAACAGATAGCTTATACATACCCTTCCTTTTTATTTTCATAAGTGTTAAAGTGTGACCTCTGACCCCGACCACTAAATTTTAGTAATTATAAAGACTGGTACTTGATAATACATATGTACTTCTTTGTATGTAGTGGTCATTAGTATCAAAATGAAGTATTACAAACAAACTATCTATTTTATATCTTGAGATATAGTATGAGAAATTTATCTGCAATACCAAAAAATAAAGTTATCATCATGATTCCTTCATTGGAGTTAAAGAATTAAAATAAGAGGCCTAATGGGCCTGAATCGATAACCTGGTATCTACTGTTTATCAAAAATAGAGTCAGTGTCAATATAACCACGGACTTATATACACATATATATGTGTATATAAGTCTGTGATATAACAAATGCATTGACATGTAAACTATTGGCATTCAATGTGGCCACATCTAATCAATTTTTAACAAATTCCACAACATACAGCTCCTAATACTCAACTCTAAATATTTTTCTAAAATTTTTGATAGATTATAGGTAAATGCCATTTCCTTTTTTCTCTAAAGTTGTTGGGCTTTGACCTCGAAACACCATTCCACCAATCATCCTGCTTCTCAGACTTTTAGTTTATGAGAACGATTTTACAGGTTTCAACAAATCTTGTCCCCGTGACCTTCCAAATGGGTCAAGGTCATTTCTATTCTCAGACACTGTCAGACATCACCTTAGGAACCTATTAGCCAAACACCATGCTTCTGCATCATGTGCTTAATAAGAAGTCATTTAAATGCTTGAAAAAATTTGACCTCTGTGAACGTGGATAAGGCTCAAGGTCATTTCTTATCACAAACTTTGTCGGACTTCATGCTAGGAACCTATCTGCCGAATAGGCAAAAGGTCATGGTCATTTCTTTTTGCAACCTTTGTTGGGCTTCATCCCAGCAACCCACCAGCCAAGTAATATGTTTCTGTGCCTTTTGGTCAGTCAAAAGAAGTTGTTTTAATGTTTTAACAAATTTGATACCTGCTACCTTGAATTAGAGTCTTTTCTTTTAACACAATTTACCAAGCTTCATCCTAGGTTTTATCCATAGAACCTATCAACCAAACACCATGCTTCTGCATTTATTTGTTAGTCAGATGAAGATGAAAAGGTTTTAACAAATATGACCCCTGTGACCTTGGTCAAAGTAATTTCTTTTCGCAAACTTTGTTGGGCTTCATCCCAGCAACCAACCAGCCAAAAACTGTGAGATTTGGTGTTCTGGTTTTTGAGAAGAAGTTGTCCAAATGGAAAAGTTGACACTGACTGGCAGAGACATGACGGATGCTGCATCACAACATAAGCTCACTAGGCCCTTCAGGCTAATAAAAAGGAGGACAGACGTACTTCAATGAAAAATGGTTTCATAGTTAAAGGAGATAGATATCTTGAAACTTTAAATAAGCTACCGAATTCTTCCTGGTAGAATTTCCAGCTTTCATACTGCCTTCCTCCATGGAAATCTTCCTTCAAACCTTCCTCGCCATGAGTGTCGTACTTCTTCCTCAAATCTTCATCTTTCAGGACTTCATATGCACGTGTCAGTTTCAAGAATAGATCATGAGCATTAGGATCATCCTGTAAAACAAAAGATGACAGCTTTTCATACATTAAAAAAAAATTAAAATATATGTTCCATGGTCAAAGAAATCAGTAAGGAATTCCACAGACTTCATCTAGCTTAAGATTCAAGTGTCTTATGACAGAGAAAGTTTTTTCTTTTTCAAAAATGCTTGAAAATAAAATTCTTTCTATGTTTGTCTGTTTCTTTTAGCTAAATGTATTTTCCATTGGCAGGACATGAAAGTTGAAGTGAAGATGAGTAAATTCATCAACCTTTGGTGCCGTAACTACAAATTTACATTTACAAATGTAGTGTTGTGCTCTCCTAGTTCAGCAACATGCTAAAGCAGAGAAAATGCTCCCAGAACAAAGATGATGATGGAGCAATGGATCACTACACCAAAGTTCAATAACTAATATATAAGCACTTACTGGATTTTTATCTGGATGTTTGGTAATGGCTAATTTCTTAAATGCTTTTCTGATTTCCTTGGTAGTGGCACTTTTAGGAATCCCCAGGAGATCGTAGAAATCCTCAGCACTCACCACCACTAATACACTCCATATAAAACACAGCACAATTAGTGACCTGAGGAGTTGTGCACTCTTCAAGACAGGACTGTCCACAGAAATTATCTTCATTTTTGTTGTATAATTCTTTCCCCTTTCTGCCTTTTGTCACCTTTGCATCACATGAAAGTTATTTTTACCTAAAATAGTAAACAAAAAAAAAATAACAGTTAAAATACAACAAAAGATGGTACACATTATGTTTAAGTACACATTTTTCATTTTTTATTAGTTATTTTCTTTTTATTTGTTTCAGGAGTTGTAGACTTGTTTCTACCATCTCAGTGGCTGTCATCAGGATAACAGTTTGTATCACGCCTATGGTCCAAAATCATGGTTCAATGTAGCTCATGAAGTGTCGCAATTGATCTGAGTGTTGGTTCACTTGTTTAATTACATTTTCATGTTGTAATACCCTGTAACATTGTCAGTGTCCCTTATCGATATCAGTACTCAGATTTTCTCCACCTGTTCCTGGGCTCAGATCCATAAAACAGAGGTAAATCACTTCATATCAGACACGTCGGTCAAAATGGTTAATTTCTTATCTTTGAAAAAAAACTTATTAACTTCCCTGGTATTTGTTTGATATCTGAAAGGATACCAGGTATTGATTTGTTCCTAGTACATTTATTTTTCAGAATTTCTTTCATTTTCATTCACAATACACAAATAAAGTGCCCACCTCAGTCGATATTCATTTCTTTCAAGTGTCCTATGTTACATGTAAAATATGTAGCAAATGGCAGTACTTCAAAACAATTAAATCTTCAATACTACGAAAGTGGGGTTGGTTGGTTCAAAATGGCCTAAAAGCAACCAACAACAGCTTGTGCAGTTGTACTTTTACAAATAGGCATTTCAGTCCAAACATGTACATATGCAAAAATATAGCACTCTTTTTGTGCCAAAAATGAAAAAAATTTTTATAGATTTGGTGGAAATATCAATAGTACAGGATACTGGCTATGTTGGCACATGACCCCAAAGTTCTCTGTCTAGTAGGACACAGCTGTCATGCTGGATACCAACATCATACTATGTTGGTACATGACCCCAAAGTTCTCTGTCTAGTAGGACACAGCTGTCATGCTGGATACCAACATCGTACTATGTTGGCACATGACCCCAAAGTTCTCTGTCTAGTAGGACACAGCTGTCATGCTGGATACCAACATCATACTATGTTGGCACATGACCCCAAAGTTCTCTGTCTAGTAGGACACAGCTGTCATGCTGGATACCAACATCGTACTATGTTGGCACATAACCTCAAAGTTCTCTGTCTAGTAGGACACAGCTGTCATGCTGGATACCAACATCGTACTATGTTGGCACATAACCCCATAGTTCTCTGTCTAGTAGGACACAGCTGTCATGCTGGATACCAACATCGTACTTTACATTGCTCTTATGCCTTGAGTGATATCCTACAATGTCTTGTTAGCACTGATAGATCCAGATCATGTAGTCACCATCATCACTGAGGTGCTCACTGATGTAGCCAGCTGCCAATGTTCAATGGGATATTGTCCTCACAATTATCCACAGTAGCCTCTATTTTGACAAATAGTGACTTGGTAAAATCTGGACCGTTTTTCAAATGCTGAGCTAAGTTGTTGTGAACACTAAGGCGCGCTTTCACTTTGGCAGTCTGCGCCCTATCCTTTGCGTGTCACTCTTGTGTTCTGACATGTATGGGTCTTCGGATTCGATTGAGTCAGGCTTTTACTATTCTACCAACCTTAATGACATCAATAAAATAACTGGAGGCAAGTTGTGTTTTGAAAAACAGTCATTGCTTGAATTGTCCGTGGTATGACTCCACTAACCATCTTGATTTAGTTATTGATCTATCAAAATTAGCTTGTAGGTTGTCATGTTGAATCAGCCTAGGCTTTAGATAACACCACATATTTCCTGTTAACCACATGATTCCAAATCTGGCAAAACATCCCTAAACCCTTGATCATATACGACATAATTTTTCTCCAGCCAGAAGACTACTGACAGTGACTTTTGTAATCCTCCCATCATAAACACTTCCAGGAAAAGGTCCTACTGAACTTCAAAATAGTTCGACTTCTTCTGGCCACAGCAGGAGATTCTCTGGAGCTTGTGATAAGAATTTTTATGAATAAAGATATATTTCCCCACTGGCCAAGAATTGCATCTGAGAAGCAGTGTTGGCCTTAAGAATATTTTCTCTTTTAAGATGTTCACATGCAAGGAACAAAGGTAAAATGGTTATTTCTAATGTTTTTACTACGGAATGAAATGTTTTCGATATACTGGAAAAATGTTAAAAAGAGTTGAAACACTGTTTATATGTTTATTTTTACCCAGAACAACAGTAGTGCATGCTTGTAGCTTGGAGTGTAAAGTATCAATAAAGGATGAACAGTAAGAAACAATTTGTAGAAACTGTGCAAACAGTCCAGGCTTTACAATCTGCATCATCCAGAGAGGAAACATGCAGAGTAAAGAAGACTCCTGCTTTGATAGCATATGTGATATCTCCAACAGATCATTGATGATTTCCTTTGATGTGGAAGGTAGCTAGGAAGTAAACATCTCTTTCATCTATGCAGATTTCAATGTTAGGGATAAGATCTTTCCCTTTGAGATGATGTGAACAAATACCTGAAGACCAAGGACACAAAAGCTTGTGATGAAAGATGAGTTAGTGTTTTGTGCGCTTGGGCAATATGGTTGAGTTTTGATAGAAACTCTTTATACACAGTGTGTATTTTGCCTGAGAAAACTGACCATAAAAAAGATCCTTTCTGGACTATAGTGGAATGTTTTGTTAGCTACGCATCATCATCAACACAACGTTTTGACCTTCAGGTTGTGACTTTCTTTTCTGATAATTCTTAAAACACTTACCACACATGCCAATCTCTTGATCATCAATAAAGTTATAGCTGTCTGCTTTTAAAACATAAAACAACCAATTGTGCTGGGGAAGTCTTATATTTCTAGCAGATTTCTTGATTTTAATGTCTCCCCTAAAGACAACTTTAAAACCCACACCCTGTATATATCTATCTCTAAATGTGAAAACGGTACTGTGTTTAAAGTCTCCATCTTAGTAGAAAAAGTAATGTCTCCCCTAAAGACAACTTTAAAATTCACACCTCCATATACATCTTTTTCTAAATGTGAGAAGGGTACTGTGTTTAAAGTCTCCGTCTTAGTAGAAAGCGTAGAAAGAAATGTCAAAAGAACAATTGATAATACTGGGGTATATTGGATACATAATATACTGTTGGGAGATATGTATAGTAATTCAGTAATATAATATATTGTATTTAACATCATAATTATAATTGACAGAAATAGTAATTCAAGGACATGTTGGCATTACCTGTATGCGTGCTAGGGGTTATTATATATGAGGAAAGGCATGTGTGTACATGAAGGTTTGGAGTGTAACAGTGTGGTCCCCTATGTCCACTATCGTTCGACATGTTATTAGAGTAATACACGTCAAAGCCAATAATCAACACTTTGCACAAATGGTGACATTTCAACCTTCGGGCAAGGTTAGGGTAAGATAAAGTTATATAAAGTTATCTATATGCTAAATCATTTTGAATGGTCTGATGTCGTTTGTTTACAAAAAATTTCCAACAAAATGCCTAAAAAATCAATAATGTTGGCAATATACTTACTGTTTAGTATTTCAGTATTTAGTTTATGGTTCAAACTTTCTTATTTCGTTAAAAATAATAATTATTTTTCATCTGTTTCATGACAATCAGCATTCATACATTAGTAATTTAGTTACATAATAAGTAAATTAGGCATGTGCATCATTAAATGTAAAGTCTAGAGAATCTACTCACTAGGTACAAAGCAGTGTATCGGTAAGTGGTCTAGAAGGGGGAAAAATCTAAGGCTGACCTCCATGAAAAATTAGCATTACTGGAAACCTAGTTTCAGATGACATAAGAATCATTTAATGCTATGTCAATGAATTACCACCAAACAAATATATGAAATAAACTGAGATGTGTTCATACTATAAGATTTATTAAGAAAAACTGACCTGTGAAGCTTTAGCCATTTTTCTTGGTAAACTTCTGTTTTATATCACAAACTATTTAAACAAAGTAATTTTTTCTTTATATTCCACAGACACAATCCGAAATTTGAAACTGAATTGACCGACATGTGTTTCAGACATGTGATTTTCACTTCCTTTTCTGATGACATCACTAAATCACAAAGATGCTTGAGTTAGCTTACAGTGATCTAGAAGTACATGTATAAAACATAAAATCATCATTTGAATGGAATGACATTTTAATGGAAAAAATGAATTTTAAAAAATATGATGCAAAAATGGTGGATATCTTTTCTGAAGGGTTGGATTCAAGCTATTACTGCTTGGTCCCTTTTTTCAAATTAGCCATTTTCTTGGAAAACTTTTTATATAACACAAACCATCTAAATAAAGGTAATTATTCCTCTCTCGGCCTACAACTTACTAGTACATGAAAAATCAGAAATGAATCAGCAAAAATGATGTTTCAGAAATCATCATTTTTCCAATATAAGATGTGATTGTTTGCACTTCCAAAGCTAAAAAAACTTGCAGGAAGGCATGTGGCCTATTATTCAAGGTCAATATATATTCACTTGACAGACGGCAATAAAACATTGGCATCTGGGGGTGTATTAATGGGATCTTTCATAATATCTGGGAGGATGTTTGACAAGCAAAAATGTGCTTTAATAAAAAATACACAAATTTGCCAAAAACATATATAGGTACTCAAAACATTTTTGATGGTGAAAGGTTTTAACGTCAAATTTTCATTCTTTCTGGAAGCGTAACATGTTACAGTAAAGCGTGTATATCTCGACGATATATATGTGTAACCATGATGAAAAATAAAGACCCTAACTTTTTTTTTGTTTGTTTGTTTGTTTTTTTTTTTTTTGAAAACTTATCTCTAGTAAAAGAAATAACAAGACATTGAATCTTTTTAAACTGACGTGTAGTTTCCATGTCTCGTCAGAATTTCGTTATTTTTTTCCAATTTTAAACCAGTGTTGATAAC